AGGAAGGCTTCATGAAAAGGTAGTATTTGAATTGGTTTTTAAATACTTAACGCCTGACTAGAAAATTGTAGGATACCATGGTCAGGTAATCAGAAGAGAGGCTGTCTGAACATTACCCAGCACACTGGATACAGGAATAACCACCTTAAATTTCTACTAAGGGCTTGTGCCTTATATCTTTCCATGAGAATTTTTTTTTATTGTTGTTCAAGTACAATTGCCTCCATTTTCCCCCACCACTCCTGACCCAACTCACCTACTGCCACATCCCACCCTCAAACCTACTGCCTTTGGCTTTGTCCATGTGTCTTTTCTACACATGTTCCTTGATGACTCTTCCTCTATTTTCCACCATTATCCCCTTCACCCCTTCCTTCTGGTTACTGTCAGTTTGTTCTTTATTTCAATGTCTCTGGTTATATTTTGCTTGCTTGTTTGTTTTGATTAGGTTCCACTTATAGGTGCGATCATATGGTATTTGTCTTTCACTCCCTGGCTCATTTCACTTAGCATAATGCTCTCAAGTTTAATCCATGCTGTCACAAAGGGTAGGAGCTCCTACTTTCTTACTGCTGTGTAGTATTACATTGTGTAAATGTACCACAGTTTTTTGATCCACTCATTTACTGATGGACACTTAGGTTGCTTTCAACACTTGGCTATTATAAATAACACTGCTATGAACATTGGGGTTCCTCGGTTCTTTTGAATTGGTATTTTGGGATTCTTAGGGTATAATCCCAGCAGTGGAACTGCTGGGTCAAAAGGCAGCTCCATTTTTAGTTTTCCAAGGAAATTCCATGCTGTTTTCCACAGTGGCTGCACCAGAATGCATTCCCACCAACAGAGCACTAGGGTTCCCTTCTCTCCACAACCTTGCCAGTTAAACAGTTTAGCCCAGCTATACATACATTGTTTTAAGTGTCAAGGGGAAAACTTGCCTAAAAGACTATAGTCATAATTTTTATTATATTATACAATTCTAAGGGATGTTAATTCTACCCTTTACTTCAGCCACTGCTTTAGCTAAATCTGGCTGTCACTATTTATTTTTTACACACACACAGTGAATATAAATAGCATTGATCTCAGTAGAGTAGCAGAAACATTATAAAATGTCCCTGAGAAATTGTCTTATATCCAAGCCATTGAAAAGTTTACAACCTGATAGTTCCTCACAGACTGACTAATTCAGATGTAGCTAATAGAGTTTTACACTAAGTGAAATAAGCCAGGCAGCAAAAGACAAATATCATATGGTTTTACCTATAAGTGGAACCTAATGAACAAAACAAACAAACAAGCAAAACAGAACCAGAGACATGGAAATGAGAAACACACTGATGGTGACCGCAGGGGAGGAGGCAGCGGGATAACAGGGGAAAGAAGGGGAAGCGTATAGTCAAGAAACCTGCCTGAAGGACCCACGGACATGGGCAAAGGGTGGAGATGGTGGGAGTGGGGGGGCAGGGCAGGGGAGAGCAAGGTTGGGGGAAACTGGGACAACTGTCATTGAACAACAATAAAATTTAAAATTTTAAATGTATTTAATTTAATTTAAAAAGAATGTTTACACTCCAAAGAATAATTGATCACCTTTAGATACTTGTTTGACCTTTCACCGAGGCCATGTATCATCGTTATAATGAACAAAATCAATAGATTTCACTTAAATACATCATTCTTTATATTCAAATCTTAACTGGGTGATAGGCCATCATAATAAACATGGAAGAATAATAAGAATCAGAAGATTCCACATTTAATCCTGAATTTACCATGTACTAAATTCATGACCTTCTTTGCATGATTTACTTCTGTTATAAAAACTACTCTGTCTCCGTCTCCAGCTACTTATATTCCACACTTCCCACTTCTGGCTGTCACCTTCCCTTAAATATTTGTGTTCAAAAGAGTCTATCCTAAACTATCTTAAGTGATTATTATTATTATTTTACATTGTGTAGATGTGTGAAGCAGGCTGAGAGTAAGACTCTCAGAGAGTAGTGCAACTGTGGCAAGCTGAAGAATGTATCAATACAAAGGCATTCAAACTCCTTTTGTTCTTAACATTGTATCAGTATAGCAACATTTATCTGTAGTTGAATTAGCTTTGCTGTATATCTAGCTTCACACTTGCAGGGGAAATTTCAGCCACTTGTTTGCAAACACCACTCATAAGCTAAGCATGAAACTATTCTAGGCCAAACTAAACATTTAGCTGCCCCATGGAAACTTCCTCTTGGACAACCTTGAGCAGTTTTAGGTATAAAAGTTATTGATGTTTAAAAAAAATCATTGCCTGTAAGAAACTCTGTAGACCTTTCAAATCTACAATTACCTATAGATTGCTTTGAAGACTCAAGTGCTTTCTTCCATTCAACCTTGGAACAGTATTTCTAATCCATATGCTTTGACTTGGTCTTTGGTAAACTTATTGGAAAAAGCCTTATCAAGTGATTACAATTTATTAGTTGCTATAAAAGCTATGCCAGCTGCTGTGAGTACACAAGAGCTGCCCTCTGGGGATTTATACTCAAGGGAAGGACCCAAGGAAATTTAAAAAGACTGGTTGTGTCTCCAAAAAGAAGAAAACTGCCATTTCATTGCAAAAGTGAGGTTGGTTTAGAACAAAACTAATGAAATTTCTTCAGGGTCTTAAATATCAAATAAATCCAATAATAACTGATTTGAAGCTCTTGACAATGGAAAAGGAACTATGAATAAAACTTAGGAATATTTATATACTAAAATGGATATTATTAAATCTATATAAAACTTCAGAAGCATAAGAGAACATTTGAATAGCTCTTGAATAAGTATTTGAGAATAACGCCTAAACTTGGGTGATGGTCATGGGGATGAAGAGGAAATGAGTGATGTAAGAGAGATAGGAAAGACAGAAAATGGTCCCTATTCCACTAGAAAGAGTCATGGATAAACAGATCTGCTCGCGCTAATGCAAAGCTGGGGGAATGTTATAAATGATAACCATAGGCTCAAGATTTACAATCTTTTAGTTTCCTTAAGGAGGCATAAGACTTAAAATAGAGAAACTTCATTTAGATCTCAGATACTTATATCACCATTCAAATATATAAGGAAAAATTTATTAATTGATAGTGTTGCTTCAATATTTAGTATTCCAATTAGTTAATTTTGTTCATTAGATATTATATGTTGATGTATGAGATGATAAAAGTACATTATACAATCTCCAATCACCAATTTTTATAATGGATATTGCTTTTTGGAATTTGAGAAAATTATACATCTAAAGTGGTATATAGAAAAGTCACCACAAAGAACAGTGATGGCCAGCCTATTCAACTCAGAACAATGAGATGCCATTATGATTTGTGAGCATTTAGTATATAAAATATCAAGAACAACATGTATAAAGCTTTGACTATATGTGGCAGCCAATTAAAGCCACATATACTATAAAACTTTTGGTGATGGAGAGTAAATTTCATCATCTCTTGATATCCAACTTCATCAGATAAACAACAGTCTTCAAAAAAATTGTAACCAATGAAAATCCTAAAGTTGAATATCAAGGTGCCACATTTACTTGTATGTCTTACCTTTCTCTCTTTCATTGTAAGTTAGTAAATATCTCTATTGCAGAAAACAATTTGGTCATAGCGATCAAAACATATATTAAGATGAAAAATACTCAACACAATCCATAACTTTGTAATAATTTTACTGTAAAATATAATTTTTTCTCAGTTCCATGTTGAAGAATTAGATTATATTTAATACAATTTTAGGGCTGGACAGTGGCATGAATCAGAGACTTTGATTACTTTTTTAATGTTCTTTGCACTGTACAATATTTTTTGCCACTTATCCTGGAACTGTTATTTATATATAAAGAAGTGAAAACAATTTCTCTAAATGATGACATTAATTTTTAAGTCTAAAGTTTCAAAGTTGAATTTTTTATAGGATTTTGATTTTATTGGCTGTAGCTCAACTCATGACCTAAAAAAGAGAATGCATCCTTTTTTATAGGCATAATTAAAACCCACAGTATTATTAGAGACTTTTTTGTATGGAAGAAGACCAAAAACAAGATAACTTCAATAGGTTCATTTATATTAATTAATATATATTATTATAGTAGTATATATTTTTGATTCAGATAAAACGTATGAGAATAAACAATAATCACAGTATATTTAATTTGTTTCACTAATATACTTCAAGGTCTTAGAAGACTACTTAAAGTACAGTAAAGCATTCAATAAATATTTTAGACAAAGACAAGTATATATAAATATTTTTTCTCATGACAAAAATCAAACACATGAAAATTTAAACTAGTGTGTAAATTTTGTTTTATGATTTTGTAAGTATCTCCACCATAACTAAGTAATAAAAATGTCTCCCTAATCTGTCCAAATGTGGCAATATTAGAATTAACTTATTTGTGCTATATGTTCTAAAGTCCTTTGAACATGTACATTAAAGACATTCATTTTAAAAGGCATATTAAGAACCTAATATGCTTCAAAGATCGAACAGGCAGGCCAGTTTTGGCTCAGCTTCCAGGATGTCATTCACTTTGTAGTTGAGATAAATGGCTTCTTCTGGTTTATGCGATTTAGCCCAGAGTACACATGCCCAGTAACCGTGGTGACAGGAGCCAGGATATAGACATAGATGGGATCCAGTCTCTGTCAACTATACTAATGGAGTGCAGAGAACTTTAGTCAGCTCAGGGGACTGAGGTCTGGACAGGGTACAGTGCGAGTTCACATCCAGAGAAGCAAATGGCATTTCTGCTCAGGAAGATGCCAATAATAAGTTGTTAAAGATCACATAAGCACTAAAATTCATCCTTACCTTGTTGTGTCCAACAGATATCTTTCTTATGCTATCACACATTTTCTGAAATACTATACCTGCTAAGTCAACTTGTTCTGTAAAACCAATCATTCCAGTATAACTAAGGTAACATTGGAATTTAATGCAAAATTTTTAATACTCACATCGAGATCATCCTTTGCATTGTAGTAGACAACTTCATTACTCTATAAAAAATAAAAAAAATAATGCTTTATTGATTTGAGTAAAAACAAAATATACAGGATGAAACACAATATATTTTATTCATATTTTGAATAATAAACCTCTCATAATATTCTTTTCACAATATAGTCCACATAGATCCATAAAAATTGGCCAATATTTTCTAAGAACATATTAAAATACTGTATCAGTGATATTAGAAAAGCACATTTTTTGCACTGAGGTAAAAGATCTCAATGTAAGCCTGAGAACAATTTGTCAAGAAAAAAATTAAAAATTCATGAATTATGGCAAATAAATTATATATATACATACACATACCCAAGTACACATGCGTACTCACATACACACTCATACCCCTAAACCATGAAATGATTAGGAAGATAATTCCAGAACAATGTACAGTAAATGGCTTGTTAATAGTTGGCTGAAACCATGACTTTTAAACTTTTATATATTTATGTATCTATAACATATATATGTTTATATATACACATATCAGCCTTGACAGTATTATTGAAGAAGAGAATATCTTCACAATATTGGCAGAAATTTCTTCATGAGATTTAGATAAGGGATCAAGAGTAGCTTTGAATGTAGTGACAAAAAATATCAGATTATCTAACACACTATGTCATTCACATTGTAGTTGAAATAATTGGCATCTCTCTCCTTGTTAATGCAGTTTAGGCCAGAGATACATGCCTAGTGGCCGTCGTGATGGGAACCAGAACACAGTGACAGATGGGATCCAATCTCTGTCCACAATGCTTATGGAGTGCAGAAAATTTTAGTCAGTGCAGTGGCTACCAAAGTGTTGACTGAATGTGTTGGCTCTTCAAGAATAAATATAAATGACTATTTCTTCTAACCATCAAGGTTGCTGAAATGTCATAAATATAAATTATGGACATAAATTGTGTTATAGAGGAAAAATGGAGTGCAAAAAATGAACAAAATGATTGTGAGGAAATTAAAAATTCCTTCTTTGCATCTTTGAGGCTAGATCTATGTAAGGTCTTCAGTAGTAATATGCACCTTAAAAATGCATTATTTCATGCCTCTTAAAAATATGGATGCTCTAAAATTTTATTTAAAAAAACAATATACAAAAAATATTTTAAGAACATTTCTTGGAAAATAGATTAGATTAGCTTCTTAAAGTATGCCTCTCCCCTCCCCCCCCCAAAAAATTACTAGTGTTTCAGGCTATAATAAATGTTACATAGGCAAAAGCATTCTATGGTCGTGACTTCAGAATACACGTAAACCATAAAGTTAAAACTCTCTCTTTTATGTAGGACTTCATAGAGTTTTCAGTGTATAAATGTATATTATAAATCTCCAAGAAAAAAATAGATCTTGTTTTGATTCCTTGACTTACTTGCCATAGATTCTGCCTCCATTTTTTTTTTTTTTTTTTGATGTGAGAAACACACCATGAGACTAAGGATCTATAAAATATAGGTCTCTCTGAAGGCCAAACAGCCAAACCAAATACTATATACATAAACATAAAAACATACTATTCATAACACTAAATGAAACCCATGAATTTGAATTTATCTCATACAGAGTCAATAATACTTTTAAAACTAAGAAACTTTACCCTTTGTGACAGCATGGATGGACCTGGAGAATATTATACCAAGTGAAAAAGGCAGAGAAAGACAAGTACCATATGATCTCACTCATATCTGCAATCTAATGAATAAACTGAACTAACAAGCAAAACAGAGAGAGACTCATAGATGGAGAGCAGGCTGACAGCTCTGGGGGTGGGAGGTTGTGAGTTGGGGGGCTGGAGGGACCAAGCAAAGAAGAAAAAGAGAGAAAGAATTCATGGGCTGCAATATGGTGACTATGGGGAGAAGGGCTGGGTGTAGGTGGAAGAGGCCATAGGGAGGGTAAATGGTAATGGAAAAAATATGATAAAAATTGTAAAATTACCATTGAATGACTTTTAAAGGAATTACATAGCTAGAGAACTTAAACATGCGTGCAAGTTCTAATTCCTGAAACATTTCTCATAGCATTAGTTTTGTAACAAAGTTAAAATATGAAATCATAACTCATTATAAACATACAGCAAGAAAATCTTCTGTATTCACCTGAGACCCAAATCTAATTACTAGTTTATTGATCCCTCCTGCAACTCTGTAATTTATACTTAGGAGACAATTTTCAGTTTAGAATGTATAGTCCACCAAAAATTAAAACACTGAATAAATGGATCTTCATTTTAGACTTTATTTTTGCAAACTGTATGCTTATATGTACAATATTGAAATGTGTTGAAAATAAGGTCAAACTGTATTAAATTTCAAGCAGTTCGGCACCATTTTCAACATTCATGAAATACCTATATGTACATAGTGCTGTGCCAAGAGATATAAGTTGAACATACCCACCTCTATCCTTTAAGTACAATAATGGATACACATCAACTATATAAAACCAGTCACGCCTACGACACTTGGTCCATGATACTTGAGTTAATGGACTAAATTGATTAGTAAACGTTTCTTATGTATCACACATGGTCACGTGCAACAAATAAAGATAATTTATTTATTAAACTTGAGATTAAGACTATCAACTACAGTGACAGAAGAAGATAAAATATGATAAATGCTAGTTTTAACTCAAACTACATATTTTGATTCCATTAAGATAAATGGTGCAGGGAATTAAAATAAAAATTAACATACAGAAAATTGAGTTTATTCGAGAATTTCCAAATGCCTTTCCCTTTGTCACTGTCTTATATTTTATACAAAAGTTTATTTAAATTTTATACATCTGTACAAGTCTTTCTGGGCTTTGGAAAACATAATTCCAAGAGCTGGCCTTTTTCTTTTAAGTAAACTATAAAAAATACATTAATCATAAAATATTGATATGTGTTAAACATTCGTGCTCATTCTAACTGGGTAATTTGTATTTCTACTTTTAAAAAGGTCTTGTTTTTTAATCCAATGTCAACTTCTTACGTACTCAAACTATAAATGCAGCCCTTGCCAGTGTGGCTCCGTTGGCTGGAGCATCGTCTGGTAACCGGCTGCAGTTTTGACTCCTGTTTGGGGAGCATACCTAGGTTGCAAGTTCAATCTCAAACCCGGGTCAGGGTGTGTGCAGGAGGCAACCAATTGATGCTTCTCTCTCGCATCAATGTTTCTCTCTTTCCCTTCCTTTCTACTTTCCCCTTTCTCTACAATTAATGGAGAAAAGGTCCTTGGGTGAGGATTAAAAAATAAAATAAAAATTTATAAGTACAAAGGAAAACAAAAGTGTGACTTTGTATAGAAAAAAAACTATGAAGCACTTAGGCAAATACATGTGCTTATCAGATCATTATATCTTAATAAGAGAACACAGACTTTAGTGGAATGTGCAGCTGTTTATATCCACTGCCCCAAAGCAAAATTTCTTCTCTAATAAATGTGACATTGCTTTTGGCTTAGAAATATTTTTTATAAATACATTTTCTTTTCCCAAACCCCAAAACTTGCATTGATAGCATGCACATTTCATTACTCCCTTATTTTACTTAACAGGAAAGCTCAACTGATCAATTTTAGTAAGGATACATCTATGTAATGATTTGGGGAAACTATAATTGTGCATTTAATTTGTCATTCCAGTCCATCTACGTAGCAGTATAAATAAAATGCAAACATTTGTAGTGCAGTGAATTGATATAATTAATAAAAATATTTTTGCAGTCTCAGGTCATCATATTTTCTTGTGAAAAATTACAGTGATTTGTTTCAGAATGGTTTTTATTTAGATAATATCAGAATTATTTGGCTCAGAAAAAATTTTCGATGTAAGTTTGAGAAAAACCATAATTTGGTGAAATTACATTGCTCTTCCCTCTCACATCCATTTATGGCTATCTCCTTTGCGGTATAAAAATATATACTAGCTCTGCTATATAAGAAGATACATTAAGATATGTGCAACTCCTGTTGGTGGGAAAGACGAATGCTGCAGCCGCCATGGAAAATAGTATGAAACATTTCAAAAAATCTTAAAATGGAACTGCATTATGACCCAGCAATTCCATTTTTGGTTATATCTCCAAGGAAACACAAAACACTAGTTCAAAGGAATATATGCATCCCTATGTTCTTTGCAACAGTATTTACAATTGTCAAGATCTGGACACAATCCAAGTGCCCATCAGAAGTTGAGTGGATAGAAGAGCTGTGGTACATTTACACATTGGAATATTACTCAGCCATAAAAAAGAAGGAAATCTTACCATTCGTGACAACATGGATGAACCTAGAGGGCATTATGCAAGGTGAAATAAATATCATATAATCGCACTTATATGTGAAATGTAAAGAAAAATAAACAAACAAAATAAAAAGGGACTCATAGTTACAGTGAACAAACTGATGGTTGCCCAAGGGGAAGGGGGTTTCGAGGACTGGGTGACAAAGGAGAAGGAATTAAGAAGTACAAATAGGTAGTTACAAAATAGTAAAAGGTCTGTAAAGTAGAGCATAGGGAATTTAGTAATACTGTAATAACTACATAGGATGTGAGGTGGGTACTGGAAATATCAGGGAGAACACTTTGTAAATTATACAATTGTCTAACCAAGATGCTATATGCCTGGAACTAATACAAAGTAATATTGAATGTTAAACTGTAATTGAAAAAAAGGAAAATACTTAAAATTAATATTGAAAAATACATAAATGTAATGTCAATGTATTATTGCAATTAAATAATTTTCAATAAATGTACTTTATATTACTTGCTAATATAATAATGAAAGATGTGTTTGGCTTTGTTAAGCTAAATAAAATCAAATGAATCAAATCACCAAATCATCAAAGCATATCCAGAACCAAACTTAACCAGATTGGGATAGAGGACAATTTTCAGGAATATTGGACAATTCACACGGAATCAGTCCAACTTCTATGTTGCAATGGTTGTGTAGGGATAAATTTTAGTTACAGTAAATTCTAGGCTAAAACAAAAT